CTGCATACCTGAATTTATAAGTTTAAGAAAACAATAACATATCTGGCAGTTTGGCCTGAAATATGGGGAGAGGGCTATTACAAATACAAAACTAATACAAAATACTGAAGAAAAAATGCCTTTAGGAATATTGTCACAAATGTAGAATAACTGCCTACATGATAAGTCAAATTAAGGCTGAGGTGAAATCACAAATCACTGCACCTGTACAGTACTTCCTTTCCCAGCATTCAGAAACCGTACCACCTACCTTTCTTATGTTATTAACAATTGTACTACATCAAACAACATTTTTATATAATCCAGATGAAAAACTACTGCTAAAACCATTAAGGAAAGGCTAAATAAAAGTTTAACATAACTGCCATTTGCATAGACGCTGGTTGCTTGGCTGCCTCAACACTCGCCAGTTGCCATAGCATTTGTATGTGTATGGTAATAAGTGGTTTATTGAGATGGGTGTTTATGCCCTTCATCCCATGCCTGTGTCAACTGACATGTCTGTGCATCTATCAGGCTGTCATTGGTTGCTGCTCTGCTGGAACTATTTCACTTACTTAGTTTGAATTATTTTCTTATGATACAGCACCATATAAAATGTGCATTTTGATTGTTGAGAATGATGTGTTAAGTTTTATTGAATTATTTTATGTATACTGTATGTTGGGCTCAGAAACCGAAAAGTGACCCCAACACGTTGTGGTTGGTTTCAAAACAACCAGAAAGCAAAATTTTGCATTTAAATTTTACCTTAACCTAACCTAATCCAAACTAACCTAACCTAACCCAATCCAATTTAACCTAACCTAACCCAATCTAAACTAACCCAATCCAAACAAACCTAACCCAGTCCAAACTAATCTAACCTAACCTAACATAAGATTGGAGGAAACTGCAGCAGCCCTATTGGCTCATACCGGGCTGTCCCATTTACACCCAACCCCTATTGCTCATACAGTATATCCATCCAACCTATGTTTGAAACTATCCAGCATACAGTGGTCCCTCGGTTAACGAGCACCTCGGTTAACGAGATTTCGGTTAACGAGCTACCTTCCATAAGATTCTTAACTTCGGTTAACGAGTAAGCCCTCGATTAACGAGTTTCTTACGAGCCGACCTGAACATGTTTTCGCTTGCATTTGGCGGTCCACCAGCTGTAGTATTAGTCCGCCAATACAGTAATCGGTTCTTGGGCTTAAATTCCTTACCATTTTAGCAAATATCAAGAAGTTTATACTATTCAATAATTTTAAAAGTTTAATATTAAATTTTTTAGTCATTTTAACAATTACTGAACATAATTGAAGGTAATGAAACTAGTTTTATGCGCGCCATCCAGCCTCTCAACACACCATACAGGCGTCAGTCTTTGTGTCTTTTCAGTGGAGGTAATATCTTGCTTGAGACTCATCAACTAAATGCTTTTTTTCTGTGTTTGCAAGCAAATTATTGGTCATTTTGAAATTTATTTTACATATTGACAATATATAATGCAGTGCAGTGTTGATTTAAAGAAAATAATCTTGAATTACACCAAGAGAACTAAAATTTTATGGGTGAAATGGCGCCATGGGGTGACTTCACTTCCACCCCAATGTCTTCTTCTCTCTTCTCCTCCACCCCCATTCTAATTTCCATCATCATCATCCAGGAGCCTTCAACATACACACCTCAAAGTAAGTGTACTTTTCTACCTTTTTTGTTGAATTTAGGCCATTTTCGGTGAGCTGGAACCAATTACCCAAAAACCCATTGAAACAATGGTTTCGGTTAATGAGCAACCTTCTAGAACGGATTGTGCTCGTTAACCGAGGGACCACTGTATAGCAAAATCTTGCTTCTGGTTACTTTGAAAACAACCACAATGCATTGTGGTCACTTTTTGGTTTCTGAGCCCAACATATACATTATACACAAGGGAATCCTCCCACTAACGGATAGGGCTTATATGAATTTGTCGAGTATTGGGAGGGGTTACTGTAGTACCTGCATTAGTCTTGTTTTAATTGATTGGAAACATCAAATAAGTCTGCATATAATTGTTTCCATAAATTTTTCACATGACTTCAGGGCTTGCTGTGATAGGTGTGATGTAATGTGAATGGGAAAAAATATAGCTGCATTTGTACTGCTCATGAAAGGTAAATTTGTGCAATGTAAAGGAATTATTGTGTAGGCTAATGTACCAAGTACAGTTAACCCTCACTTTACACGGTTAATGTAACCCGGAGGGTACCGCGGAAAGTGAGGAACGCGTAAAGTGAATAACATAACATATGGGATTAATTGAAATGGAGTCCGGGCCGATCCCCAAACTCCACTTTTTGATGACACACAACTATGTTGTAGTAAAAATTTTATCTTAACTTTATGATGGTATGAAAAAACAAGTAATATAGAAGAGGTTAGGTTTGGAAAGATAAAGGTTAACATAGGAAAAATAAAGGTAAGGTTAGAAAACTAAAAATTAGGTGTAACACTTACGGTAGTAGAAGAGATGGGTTGGCATACGGGGATGGAGGCTGGTTCCGAGGCAGAGGGCAGATTACTGGCCCTCAGGTGAATCACCATTACTAGGTGAATCACCATCACTGTCACTTACAGTTGTCAGGGCTTCCCTGACAAATCCCTCAAAGTCACCTTCACTGTCACTATCACTGGCTTGGGCTGGCTGTGGTGGGTTGCGGGCGAAGAAATCTGTTATGCTTTGCTGACGGCTGGCGTTGATGTTGTCGTGATACACCTTGATGTACGGCTCCATAGCCTGCACCAGCCGGGTATGGAAGACTTCATAGCGGTCATCGTCATTGTCGCGGGAAAGGAAGGACTTCATCTTCTCTGCACACTCCATGGCACCCTTAATATCACTATGACTTAAATTGTGTTCTTCGGAGACTGACGCACCTTCTTCCTCCTCTTCACTGACGTGTTCTTCTTCCAACATCTCGTCGGCAGTCACTTCAGGATCTCTGATCACCTCCAGGATGTCGTCGTTGGTGGTCTCGGAGAAGCCTGGAACTGTAACAGTCTGCGCAGCTTCTCTGGCAAGGTCCACTGCTACTGCAACATTCTGAACCTCACCAGTCACAGATTGACTCCTCCTCTCACCTGGTATTCCATGCAACACATGTCTCCATGAGTGATGAATTGTAGCAATAGACAGCTGATCCCATGACTCCACCAAGAAGTCCACAGCTTTCTTGATGTTAAATACTCTCCAGAATTGTTTGAAGAGTATTTTTTGCTGTGCCAACTGTTGATCCTCATCTTCTTCGCTCTTGCTATCGGTGGTGGTGTCACTCAGGTTACGCAACTCTTCCCTGGAATTTTTTGGTTGAGAATGCAGCTTTCACATTGCAAATCAACTCCTGGTCCATGGGCTGGATTAAAGACGTAGTGTTGGGAGGAAGGAAGACCACTTTTACGTTGGGGTGACGATCTAACAGTAGGGGCGAGTGTCCTGGTGCGTTGTCCAGCAGCAACAAAATATTAAATGGGACATTCTGTCGCTCACAGAATTTCTTTACATCGGGAACAAAACAGTCATCAAACCAGGAGAGGGACAGTGTAGAGAACATCCATGCCTTACGTGCAGTCAGCCAGTGGACATTTAGCTTGGTCATGTCCATGCTCTTGTAGGCGTGCGGCTTGCGGGCTGTGTGGATCACCGATAACTTGAGCTTACAGGTACCGGAGGCATTGGTGGTAAACAGGACGGTGATGCGTTCCTTCTGCATTTTCCGGCCCCGAATCCTGCTGGCATTCTTCACAACGAAGGACTTGGAAGGTAGCTTTTTCCAGAAAAGACCAGATTCGGCCATGTTAAACACCTGGTCGTCACTGTACTGTCCTTCCTCCATAATCTCACGTAAAAACGGAGGAAATTCCCGAGTCGCAGCACAGTCAGCACTCGCTTCTTCACCACCAATGTTTATATTGGTGATCTTGTTCCGGATCTTAAACCTCTGTAACCACCCAGAGGAAGCATTAAAGGGTTTGGGCTCTGAAGTTCCCATCTTTCGTGCCACTGCCATGTACAGTTCACATGCGTAGTCCTTAACAGAGCGCGTGTCGACCGCCATGTTCCGTCGCGCCTGACGCACCAAGTACCTCACAAGTAATTTTTCTGTCTTGAGAAGCACCTGGTTGTGAAAATACTTGATCATAGAAGCACCTGTAGACTTTGTGATCTTCATGTGCTCCTTTATCTTGGCTGAATCCTTCTTTATAGTCCGGATCGTAGATTCGTTCACGCCATGCTGGCGCGCCAAATCAACCTGCCTTGTTCCTTTCTCCAACTCTTGGATGATGCTATACTTCACCTCGTAGCTTAAGGAACGTTGTGTCTTCTTTGGTTTAGTGCCGCTGGGTCCAGGTAAGGAAAGGTTTCTCTCTGGGGGTGGTGGTCCGGCGGAAGCCATTTTACGGAACAATGGATGCGCGTTTACACGGAGTGGCCTTGAGGGATGAAACTGCCGCGGCTAGGTCAAGCGTCGTCTTTCCTCCCTCCCTCCCTCCCCTGGGTGGACACGTCAATACTTTAAGCCAATTACAGCTAGCAGCAGAGGGGGGTAAGGATGCATGGCAAATCACAGGTCTGGTACGTCATATGACGTCAGTGATAACGCAACAAAGACACACACTGCGCAACCTTACCGCGCCGCTTGCCCAAGCGGAGGGAGAGGCAGGCAGGCAGGCGGGCGGGTGGCGGGTGGGGCGAATCTAAAAATAGCGTCGCGCCGGACACTCTCCGCGTAATGGGGTTCACGTACCGCGTAATGTGAGCACGTGAGGTTCTGGCAAGGCACCGCGTTAACGTGGAAACGCGGAATGCGGGACCGCGTAAAGTGAGGGTTAACTGTAAGTGCTGCTTCCAGGATCACCTCATCATTTTTAATGCCATATGGTTATTCACCAGTACAATGAGTCATTTCACTATAGTGTTGTAGGCCAAACTTTTAACCTTTCTTAAATGGCAAATATTTTCTTTGTTACAGCTCAATAAGAGCCGCACTCGAGAAGAGAAAGAGAAAAGGGCAAAGAAGCTTACTATGATATACAAGAAGAAACTGCTGACACTGAAGAAGTTGGGGATTGAACTGGACCTTAACAAGCTGAATATGGTGAGTAGTCTTAGCATTATAGTGTGTGTGTAATAATAATAATAATTAACGGTTTATTGAAAGAGCATGGCAGCCGGAAGGCTGAAAATATACAGTTACATAATTGGGGAATGGGTCACTTGATTTACAAATGATATACAGGTAACATAAGCTCAAACTACAGGGCATTTAAACACAGTGACAATGCAAAAAGTAAGATTGACTGGGAGTGAATACACTGGTTGTGTGTGTGTGTCCAGTGTTACAACCTTCACACCCTCTTCTAGGACTCAGTAGAGCTGGGGTGGGCAATTATTTTTGATGGAGGGCCACTTCATGAATGGTGGCACACTTCGCGGGCCACACACTTAATGTAGATGCAAATGTATTATATTAACACAAAGTAAAGCCTGTATTTGTAAATACAAATGCAGTGGCGGGCCACAGAAATAATTTGGCGGGCCAAATGTGGCCCGCGGGCCATACTTTGCCCACCCCTGCACTAGAGGATGTATAGTCAGCCCATAGGCCCATTATATCAGAGGAGACTGAAATAACAGCTTCTGTTAACAGAGATTAGATGTTAAGCACAGACCCTTACCTTATTTCTGGCTAACAACCTTCTGACAGCTGACAGGTGTTTATTTCAATACCACTGTCCCCATTAAAACTGGTTTAATCAAAACACAGCTTTGAGATTACAACAAAATATATTTAACAACAAAATATAATAAATGTGTGCTCTCCGTCCATGTGCATACAAAAGGCCACAAATCAGTTCACTCAGAATAGTGTTATCTCCTCCAAATACAATGCTCTCTAACTACTTACTATAATATTCTTTTGACTATAATGAACATATTACACTTTAGTTAACACCATAATTATCCATGATTGCCCACATAATAATAGATAAATATGCACCACACAAGCTTGGCCCTCCTATCCTTCTCAACCTAGCTACCGAGAGTCATCAAACCAAAACAATGTTCCAATACTTTCTTGTTTCATCAACATATAATTTATAATTCTTTTTATACTTCACACCTGCTTCTTACAGTCTTTCATAACTGTATAAAAGATAAGAATACATACAACAAAGTTTACATAATGAAAAAAATACTAGTATACATACTTGTATAAAATAATCAAGACATTTTTCAGTCTTTACCATAGGTTTGGAAATTCGATTTTAAAGAAAACAGGAAACAACAGAAACTAAGTACAATGGGTAACTGAAACAAATATTGGGGGAAAGGTGAGACGACCGTAACATCCCCCTCCCAAAAGAAGAATGAGTCAGCCGCAGGATGACTCATAATTAACTGCAATACGGGACAGTGCATCAGCCACGACATTCAACTTTCCTTTCACATGTTTAATAATCAAATTATAATCTTGTAACAATAGATTCCACCTTGTCAAACGTTGGTTTACATTTTTCATCTTGTGCAAAAATACAAGGGGATTGTGATCCGTAAACACTTGGATCGGTATGCCTGATCCCCTCATATAAACATCAAAATGGTTCAAACTTAAAATCAATGCCAATGTTTCTTTCTCAATTGTACTATAGTTTTTCTGATACAAAAGAAACTTCTTTGAAAAATAACAAGTAGGATACTCAACATCATCTTTCTCTTGCATTAAAACTCCACCAGCTCCATAATCACTAGCATCTACATACAATTTAAATGGTTTATCATAATTTGTAGTAGAAAGTATGTGTGCACTTATAAGTAAGTATCTGTTTCAATTTTTTAAAAGCTTCATCACAATGAACACTCCACACAAATTTGACTTTCTTTGACAACAGATTGGTTAATGGTAAAGCAATGGTTGAAAAGTTCTTAAAACCTACCATAATATCCACTCATACCCAGAAATATTAATAATTCTCTTCTATTTGTAGGTGCAAGAAATTTCACAATACTTTCCACCTTAGTTGTATAGTTAATTGGTCTGACACTTCCCTGACCAACAACATAACCAAGATATTCTAAGTTGCTTCAGCAAATTCACTCTTCACAAGGTTTATAGTCAAGTTTGCTTGATTCAATTTGTTAGTACTTCTCTGATTAAATACAAATGTTCTTCCCAAGTTTTTTAATACAGTACACTATCATCTATATACACAGAACAACCTTTAACATCATACAATACTTGATTAACTAATCTTTGGGAAGTACTACTGCTGTTTTTCATACCAAAGGGTAACACTTTATACTTATATAAACCATCCATAGTCACAAACGCAGAAATTTCTTTTGTTCTTTCAGTCAGTGGCACTTCTCAATATCCTTTCAACAAATCCATCTTAGTTACAATTTTATCATCTATCTGGTCAATACAATCATCCACTCTTGGAATAGGATATGAGTCAGCTTTGGTTACATTATTTACCTTTCTGTAATCAGTACAAAATCTATATGAAATACCATCAGGTTTAGTCACCAATACACACAGTGAACTCCAAGGACTGTTACTTCTTTCAATCATATAATTATCAAGCAGATACTGTACTTCTTTTCTCATTATATCTCTCATCTTAGGATTCACTCTTTATGTGTTGCTTAATGGGTGTTGTATTTTCAACCTCAACACCATGCCGTAATACCTCAGTTCTCCAAGGAACACCAGAAAACAAAGGCCTAAACTCATGTACAATTTGTATGATTTGATTTCTCGTCTCAGTTCCAAAATGATCAAGTTTCTTTTCTAAATTATTTAACACACCTGAATTATTTAACAGTTTATTTTCACATCTCCATAACTTCATTTTCATCTATCATCTTTTCATCATCAGACCTGACACATAGACAATTCACCTTGTTATTCACATAATTTTCTGTAGAGTTTCTATCATAATATGGTTTTATCATGTTTACATGACACAATTGGTTTGACTTGCGTATTCCTGGAGTATTTACAATATAGTTCAATTCTCCCACTCTTTTTTCAATCACCCAGGGACCACAAAATCTGGCTTTCAATGGATTTCCTGCTTGTGGCAATAATACCAACACTTGGTTACCAGGTTTGAACTCTCTGCTCCGAGACTTCTTGTCATACCACCTTTTCATATCTTCTTGACTCTCTTTCAAATTTTCTGCAGCAATCTCTCTCGCCCTAAACAATCTGTTTTTGAAATCTGATACATACTTCAATAACCCATGAGAATCTTTTATCCCAATCCACTTCTCCTTCAGCATACTTAATGGACCTCTCACTCCATGTCCATATACTAACTAAAATGGGTTAATACCTGTAGACTCCTGTATAGCATCTCTAATGGCAAACAATGCTTAAGGCACAGCTTCATCCCAATCTACAGACAATTCCTCACAATAGTATTTTTAAAGTCTAGTGGAACCTCTCCACAACTTCTTGGCTTTGCGGGTGATAAGCACTTGACTAATTTTGCGTTATATCTAATCTCTTTAATTTTTTTTTAAACATTCCTGAAGTGAAATTACTTCCCTAGTCTGACTGAATAATTTCAGGCAGGCCTACCCAGGAGAAATATCTCACTAACACTCTTACAATATTTTTAGAATGTATGCTACGTATTGGTACAGCTTCTGGAAATATGGTAGACACACACATTATTGTCAACAGATAATTATTTCCCTTCTGTGTTTTAGGCCAAGGACCTACACAATCAATTACAATTCTGCTAAAAGGTTTACAAAATGCAGTAATTGGCTTCAGTGGTGCCAGTTGTACAATCTGGTTGGGCTTGCCCACTTTCTGACATATCTCACAAGTTTTACAGTACTCAGATACATTTTTCTTTACATTTGGCCAATAAAAATGAGTTAGTAGCCTGTCAGTTGTCTTCCTGACTCCCAAATGTCCAGACAAACAAGAATCATGGGATAAAGCAATAACATGTTCCCTATATTCTTTTGGAATAACAATCTGCTTCCTAACCTCCCAATGATCCGATGCTGGAACATCAGCAGGCCTCCACTTTCTCATTAACACACCACTTTGTACACAAAATCCAATTGATGCATCACTCTCACCCCCATTTCTCTTGGCTTCACTCCAACATTCCCTCAAACTCAGTTTGCTGTTCTGTAACCTTACCAATTCCTCCCTGTCCACAACAAAATCTGGCAGTACATCAATTTTTGCTTCTACAGTACACTCATTCTTATTTTTCAACTCTACTGTATTATCTGTGGTCATAACGTCCCCTTTACCAAATATATCACCTACTCCCAAATCATCATCAAACTCTTCTCTTCTCTTTGACATTGCCCTGGTCACAACACAAGCTTGGTACACAATTTCATTATACAGGGGTACTGTATATCACCATCAGGTTTACACTTCTTTGAATCATCCAACATGGTTCACCTCTACAGTAGCCTCTTCATCAAATGGATTTTCACACATAATAGGCTCTGGGACCACCTTGTCAACAGCCACATCATTACCCAATAACATCTGTACTCCAGGTATGGGAAGTTCAACACTTACCCCAACTTTTACAATGCCACTCACAAATCCACTCTCAAGATTTACATTAAGTAATGGGGCCCAACCCCCTGTACTGGGCAGTCCCATTTACACCCAACCCCTATTGCTCATATATCCATCCAACCCATGTTTGAAGCTATCCAGCGTATTCGAGTTAATGATGATGTTTGGTAACTTTTTCCACTCGTCCACTACTCTATTTCATGCCTAAATCTAAATTTGTCTAATGTAAAACCATTGTTACAAGTTCACTCGTGGTTGGATAGTTTGAGTACCTTTGCAATGTCCCCTTTGTTTAGCCCTGACTTCCATTTATACACCTCTATCATATCGCCCCTCACTCTACGTCTCCCGAGGGAGTGCAAATTAAGATGCTTTAACCTGTCTCTACTCAAGGTTCCTAATGCCCTGGATTAGTCTTGTCATTCTCCTCTGAATTCTTTCCAAGGAATCTATATCCATTCTGTAATACGGTGACCAGAATTGAACTTTGTAATCAAGTGAGGTCTCACATGCGCATTATATAGTTTTAG